GGAAGCTGGTTTAACAGTAACGGTAGGAAAAAAACTCTGTGTCTCTCATCCAAGACAAAAACATAAAGGATCAAAATGGGTTTAAATGAACATGTAAAGTCTGCAGTTTGAATCCAGACGGGAGACTCTGGTTCATGTTGGCAACATCTCGAAACTTTAGCATTAATAAAAACCCAACAGGGGGTCGTCATGCCTTCCATCACATAAGAGGTACTTGGTTGATTAAAAATGCAATCCTCTTTTGTCGATGTGAATGTATTTATTATCCTGGCTACTTGTCCGGGACTACAGTTGCATTTCTTGGGGGTTGCGCATCAGGTTACGTGCAAGGTTATGGCTTAGGGGTTGAAAGGGGTTTCCAGTTATGTCATAGCTTGCAACATGCATTTCCCCACGGAAGTCTAAATCCAGCGTTACACGAGCACGTATTTCTGCATATTTATTTTCTTGCGTTATGAGCCACTGGTTTGAAATATCAATAACCTGCACCTTTTTCTTTTCTCAGCTTTTCCACTTCAGCCAAATTGCAGAATCCTTTTTCTGACTGCAGAGCAAAATGTATCAACAACAACAACAATCCGGGTGGTTGTTCCGCACATTTAAAATAGCCCCCCAAAAAACCAAAAAAAAAACCCAAGTAGGGATAGAGACTGGTGAAAATATTCTTCGATCGACGAGCGCTGTGTGGGAAAGCAAAGCTGCTGCTCTTCCAGTACGTAATTGTCTCTGAAGGACTGTTTAAATTTCTTTTTTATAATCCCAGAAACCTGGTAGTGTAGCTGTATATTCACTATTTAGGAATTTATGCTGCTGCATCAGGCCAAATCCCATCAGCCCACTGTGAGAACTAGACAGACTGTGTTCTGCTCTGCCAGCCCTAATACTGACTCCTAACTGAGTTTCCATTGAACCTCGGCAGAGTAATGGATCCTGAGTGTGTCTGGGCTTCACCCAGTGCGCTTTGTGTCTGCATCCTGTAAAGAGAGTTCATCAGATAGGCTGTCTGGGCTCCGATACAGTCTGAAACATCAGGCGCTTATAGGCGTCAGTGTACTTAGACGCATAACACTGCACTGGCTACACCGCAAGGGAGTATGTTTGTACTGGGAGCTCGAGATAGGCTGAATTAATGGAGTGCGACGCAAAGAAACAGCACTCTCAAAATCCACATCCCACTGAGCTACTACAAGAGTTTGCTTTGTTTCACTACAATCATATGAACTACAACAAAAACACATTAACGTGCACGTGAATTAGTGCTAATCTCCACATGGGAAATAAATGCCCTCTTTGTGTTGTCGTTCCAATAACCAACAACCAGAACGAGCCAAAAGAGCAAAGTTAACCCTTCCAACATGACGAAAAACAATAAACCCAGGCAGGGTGTTAAGTCTTCTTGATTTTGGCGGTTACTGTGGATACCACCCCCACGTCCAGTGTTTACACAGCATTTAGTTAGTCCAACATTCACAACAATCGATACTCTTCCAACTTGCATGCTGGCACG